TCCGCCCCTTCCGGCAGGACGTCTTGCCCCGATCTCCTTCCCCTCTCTGCTTCCTGCTCTGCTTCGTCTGTCACACTGGGAACTCCACCCTCTTCACTCCGTTCCGGCGGGGAAGCCGGTCCCGATCTCCAACTCCCACTCGGGGTTCCCCTGCTGCTCCCCTGCTCCTGACGAGTCCCCCCTGTGGCTCCCCTTGGCCTGACCAGGGGCGCCCCCTTTTGGGAATCCTCCGATTCACTTGAGAGACTCATGGAAGCCCTCAAGTCATTGTCATCCTCCTCCTCCTCGTTCCGGGATTCTTCCCCCTCGCTCTCAGTCTCCTCCCTCATCTGTGCCTCTCTCCCTGAACCCCTGACAAGTGCGTATAGGAGTTCTGGCTGCTCAGACGACAAGACCCCCTTCTCACTGATGTGGTCCAAGGGAAATACATTTTCATGTGGCCCAGGCGATATATTTGGCACCAGCTTGGCTGCAGGAGTTGCTGGAAGGAGATGTACAAGGCGCCATCCAACCCTTTTAGCGACTCCACTCTGGATAAGGTTATCCCTTAGCCTTTTGTTCTTCCGCAAGGCAGAAGTTTCGGATCAGAGTTTTCCTCTCCTACATGGACTACCTTCCCAGGTTGACAAAATTACAAGATTTTGAGAGCAAAATTACATGGTGTGAAACTAATGACTGGGTTCTAGCCAGGGCTTTTTTTCAGGCAGAACTTACCAAAACTCAGTTCTGGCACCTCTCAGGTGGGTGCCATTGCCATTATAAGAGAACAAGGGTGAGTTCATGGTGAGTTCCAGCACCTCTTTTTCTAGAAAAACAGCACTGGTTCTAATGTGCTAATGTAACTATTTTGCTGCATGGAGGTTTCACCATCAGATTTCTAAATAAGTAAAATCAGGATGTGCTTAGGATGAATTAATTAGGTTAGAGGTCAGAGAGAAAAACAAGTTGCATGTTCTTATACTGGTAAGGTAAAAGGTAAAGGACCCCTGAAGTCCAGTCCAAGGCGACTATAGGGTTGCAGCGCTCATCTTGCTTTCAGGCTGAGGGAGCCAGCATTTGTCCACAGACAGCTTTCTGGGTCATGTGGCCAGAATGACTAAACCACTTCTGGTGCAACGGGACATCATGACGGAAAACAGAGCGCATGGAAACGCCTTTTACCTTCCCACCACATAGGTAAAAAAATAATTAGGTTTTAAAACAAATTTTAACATACTCAAGAAACTCAAATTACATTTTACATACTCAATATACCACGACTTCCCAATCCTTTTTGAAGTCATTATTGTCTTTATGTTTAAGTCTCTTGGTTAGCTTCGCCATTTCCGCGTATTCCATTAACTTTTCTTGCCATTGTTCTTTTGTTGGTATTTCATCGGTTTTCCATCTATTTATCTACTTGCACTGGTGTGCTTTTGGACTGCTAGGTTGGCAGGAGCTGGGACAGAGCAACGGGAGCTCACTTCTTTGCAGGGATTCAAACAGCTGACCTTCTGATCAGCAAGCCCAAGAGGCTCAGTGGTTTAGACCACAGTGCCACCTGCGTCCCTCTTATACTGGTGCACACAGCCAGTGAGACTCTCTTTCTAATTTGACAACAGTAAATTCAAATGACGTCTTTGCCCAAGGTACTGGAACAAGTCCCTGTGAGGAAGCATTTGGGTCTTTTCAGTTCGGAAAAATAAGGGGGAACATAATGGACATGTATAAAAATCTGGATGGTGTTGATAAGATGAACAGAGAATGGCTACATTCTTGGTTTTTCAGAAAGCTTAAAGTTCCACATTCTCCACCCCTCCCACTGTAGTCCCATGGAGAAGTCCCATACGCCCAGTCCGGATTAAAGATTGCAAAGTACGGGGGCCAGCAGCTGCCAAGGTGGAGTCCCTTAATTTCCAACGGTTTCCTTCCCATGCACAGCACATTTTCAAATAAAGCAAAGGCTGGAAGTTATAAACACTGACTTCACCGTGGCTACTTTTCGCATCTTTCCAGTACGGGCTGCAATTTGGCCACGTGAAGTCAGAAAGTGCTTTTAGCAGCTGTAGCTAATTAGGCAGCAGAATCAAAGGCAAGTCCAAGAGACTGTGCACAGTCAACCGAGGTGGCGTTGTGGATATAGGCTGTCTAGTGAAAATGATATTGTATTGCCGAGGTCATCACAAATGCACATTATCCCTCTCCCCTCCCCGGGGTTCTTTGTTGTCTGAATTTAGCTCCAGCCAGCTTGTCTTCAGCCAACCGATGATCTCATTCGAGGAAGGAAAGAGGCTCAGCAACGATAACAGCAGGTGATGTCAAGGAGGGTTAAATGTGCTGTCCCTTACGGTCACAATATCTGTCCCAGATGGAAGGAGTGAGCGAGTTTGCCCCGATAAAATTAGCTGTCGCCCAGAAGCTGGATGAAGCTCCAACCACCACTAATGGCAGCCCCACAACCTCACGTCCTCTCCCCAGTGGTGCTTCACTATGTGTCGCACAATGTCACGGTGCACCAAGTTTTTCCACCACTGCAAGAAGTAGGTGATGAAACAGGCGTGAGGAAATGACATCATGGGATATGTCTAGTGACACTAGGCACTGCAAGGTGAGAAAGAAGAGATGAAGGGCTAGTATTTTCACAATTTGTGCTTCGTGTTCAGGATTCTAATTGATCAGATTGTATGGAGATTGAGAAGGAATTATTAGCACCCTGCAGCTGGCTGGAAGGGCCATGGTGGTATTTGTTTATTTTTATTTCACAAGGTTTATATGCCTCTTGGTTGTAGGGAAAGCTCAACACAATTTGGTAGAGCATCAACTTTGCATTCAGAAGGATCCAGGTTCAATCTTCAGCATCCACAGGTAGGGCTGGGAGTGCCTCTTGTCTGAAACCCTGGAGAGTTGCTGCCAATCACAGTGTAGACAATACTGAGCCTGTCTGGCTCAGTGTAACACAGCATCTTACTTTAGTTTTCCTCCACTGTGTCCAGGAAACAACAGCACAGTATGCTGGCAATAGAGGAAGCTGACCATCTGGCTCCAATAGTCCCTCTATACCAGGGTTTCCAAACTTGGGTCTCCACCTGTTGTTGGACTACAATTCCCATCATCCCTAGCTAGCAGGACCAGTAGTCAGGGATGATGGGAATTGTAGTTCAAAAGCAGCTGGAGGCCCAAGTTTGGGAAACCTTGCTCTACACAGAGTGACAGCAATTTTCCAGGATATCAGAAAGGAGATGTTTCCAGCTCGACCTGGAAACTTTTTTTGCATGGAAAGGACGAGCTCTTCTGCTGAAGAGCTGCAACCTTCTGCACACTTGCCTGGGAGTAAGCCCCAAACGTGCTTCAGAGTCAACTTGCACAGGATTGAAGTGTTAAAGACAAAGCCAATATTTTATGGCAGAAGCCAATTTTGTTTCCTGCAAAGCCCAAGAAGACGGATTTATTAAGCTAAATGCTGTTTCAAACACCTTTCTTCCAATAGCTCCAATAAGGTAAAGGTAAAGGGACCCCTGACCATTAGGTCCAGTCGTGGCCGACTCTGGGGTTGTGGCGCTCATCTCGCTTTATTGGCCGAGGGAGCCGGCATACAGCTTCCGGGTCATGTGGCCAGCATGACTAAGCCGCTTCTGGGGAACCAGAGCAGCGCACGGAAAACGCTGTTTACCATCCCGCCGGAGCGGTACCTATTTATCTACTTGCACTTTGACGTGCTTTCGAACTGCTAGGTTGGCAGGAGCAGGGACCGAGCAACTGGAGCTCACCCCGTCGTGGGGATTCAAACCGCCGACCTTCTGATTGGCAAGTCCTAGGCTCTGTGGCTTAACCCACAGCGCCACCCATGTCCCCTATAGCTCCAATAAACCGATGCCTAAATACTAAAATACCACTTGCAGATCAAAGGGCAACTATTTCTTCCAAGTTTATCACACATTCAGATGGCCTCACCAATCAAAATCCAAAAACTTATCAGAAGTTCTTCCTGAACTTCTTTTTACTAATCTTCTATGGTGGAGGGAAGAGGAAGGGTTAAGTCTACAGACTGAAGACATAGTCTAGCTCTGACGGAAACAGTTGTTAATTTTGCATCCATTATGGAATAAACATATCAAATTAAGGATTCTGAGATGAGAAGTTAATCATCTGGGTAATGCTCCAAACACACATTTCTTTGTTGTGTTTATATAAACGTTTTATTGCCTGGTATAAATTACACAGAACTCACCTGTCTTCTTATGAAGCAAATCATGTGTTCTCAGGTGCAGTTTTCCATTAGCTGTGAAAGGGCGAAGGACTAGCAGAACCAGTTCTTTTATTAATCTTCAGCACTGGCAGTATGTTTTTCACACTATCCTGCTAATCATGACTGCAACCCTAATCTAAATAGCGTATCCCAAAATATATATAGGGTGGAGAGCGAGACATAATTTATACTGCTTTTCCTGCGGCACAGATTTTGGCAGCCATCCCAGTTCATTTAGAAATTTATTTCCACAAGACAAAGTGCTTAAAACAAGTCTCCCTACTACTTAGAACCCAATTTATTGCACCTTGCTAAAGCCACAGAGGTGTGTGCATGTACTACATAAAGGAGGAGTTAAGCACTGCCTTTTGATGAACTTGCATGAATGAAAGGCTTATTGATTATTGGGCTGCCTCATCTGATAAGTAGGCTGTGCCTTGTGAAAGCACCTGCAGGCCTGCCCTGACTTTCTCTAAGAGGCAGCCTTCTCAACATAGCCACCTGGTAAAGCTGGCCATCTAGAGATGGTGCAATGGTTAGAGTGTTGGACTAGGACCTGGGAGACCAGGTTTCAAATTTGGCTATGATGCTCACTGGTGACTTGGTCAGTCGCCATGTCTCAGCCTAACCTACTTCACAGGGCTCTTGTGAGGATGAAATGGGGAGGAGGAGAACTAGGTACACGCCAGGTTGAGCTCCTCGGAATAAAAATGTACTATATAAATGAAACAAACAAATTGCTGAAACAGATGGAGGGAAACACTCAAGCAAAGAATAAAATTGATTTATTTTTTTAATAAAAAGATTTTCAAAAGACATCATTAGACAAAGTTTCTCGTCTTGATGAAAACATTTCCATGTTGTTTATCAACAAAGTAAATTAAAAAATAATTATTATATCCTGCAGCTAAAATATATACAAAAAAAAAATCTGCATTTGTTGATTACAAATCCCATTTCAATAGGATGGCACTGCAGTTCCTACAATTATCCCGGATTTAGACAACCTTCCTTTCGCATAACTTCTTTTTTTAAATTTTAAACTAGCAACCACCCACCCCTTGACTTTTAAAGTAACATCTTAGAAACAGATCCAGGAAATATTCTTTTTTGAAGCTGAACAGAAGATAACAATTTAATCCGCAACCAACCAACCAAGCAGTTGCTTGGAGTGCACATTTATTTTAGGATTCACCTTACTTCCAAGAGGAATCCCAAGTTTAATAGGTTTTGGTTCAAGTCTAGAACAAGTGCTTACTCTGAAGCCACCAATGCAACCTACCCAGGAATAAACCTCTGCCAGGGTTGTAGTACTTTATGTGTTTATATCAGGGTGTGAAACCTTTTTGGCTCCATGGAACTAATCTTTTATCAGGATCAGTCGTGTGGACCAAATTTGACAGGTGGGCAGGATAACCCCCTGCCAATCACATGATGTCATTGTAGGGTCACATGATACCGTGGGTGAGAGCTAGGATGGCTTCTGACACACCTTTTGTTTATGAGTAGGAAAGTGTGGGCGATGGGGAGGGAGACTTAATAAGCCTTCCTAATAGAATTGCCAAGTGGAAAAGTGGAACCTGCCGACCAGTTTCTGGAACTCAATTCATTCCATACATCTAAGGAAGGCTTCCTCAGACTCAGCCCTCCAGATGTTTTGAGACTACAATTCCCATCATCCCTGACCACTGGTCCTGCTAGCTAAGGATCATGGGAGTTGTAGGCCAAAAACATCTGGAGGGCCAAGTCTGAGGAAGCCTGATCTAAGGCCTGTTCAATTGTTCCAGCACTGTATTTCTGTCCATCTCCACAAGGAAAGATATGCAAGTACAGGAAAGGTAGATGAAACCATTAGAAATCAAGAATTTCTGCATCTAAACATGAACTGGCAGTTTTAAATTGCTAGATTTAGTAATTTTTCCTCCGCTGGAGAAACTAAGGCTCAATTCAGACACTTAGTGGGCCCCCACAGAATCATGTCTTGGAATTCAAAAGTCATTTGGATTTTTCACAATTTTTTACTGGCTCATACAACCTGCAGCAGCCACGTATATAGCCTCCCACATAATGAATCAGGGATGGCCCTCCAGATGTCGAACTACAATTCCCATCATCTCTGGCCGCTGTCCGTGCTAGCTGAGATGGACCGGAGTTGGAGTCTAACCATATCTGGAAGGCCACAGGTTGCTCAACCCTGCCACAAATCATAGCATTGTTTCATACAGTCAGGAGTCTCTGTGCAAATTTCTGGCCAGATTCTGAGCTTCTAGACTCCCCAACGCAGTCTAGGCTGCCGACAGCCTGAATTTGTCCACGTTTTTCAGCTGCGCTCTGCTCATCGTGATAAGATGGTAGCCCTTGAAAAGTGCCAACAAACTGCTCACAATACACGTATAAGGTCCAGTGTTATTCTGGATCGTGGAATGTCAATTTCACGTACTCTGACTTCAACTTTTTCTCCCGGGCCCAGGCCAAGACTCCTCCTTTTCTTTTCTTTGGAAAGCTTGTCTTCGGTTATGTTCCGAATGGGAATCAATCCTGCTCTGCCAACGCCGATGTCAACAAAGACTCCAAAGAGAGTAGCGTTCACAACTCTTCCTGTCAGGACAGTTCCAACTTTTAAGTCCTCAAGACAAACGATGCTCCTCTTGAAATCAGGTTTATCAAAATCTGTGACGTAAAGAGGAAACATTTTTTAAAAAGTTATTCAGGTAAGGTACATGATGGGCAATCTGCAGATGGCCATGTGCTTGATGATGATGATGATGATGATGATGATGATAATCACAATAATTTTATTATTCATATGCCACCCACCTGACTAGGTTGCCCCAGCCACTCTGAGCAGCTTCCGACAGACTCAGCATCTCTGTTAAGGGCAATGTTTCTTAGGCAATTTGTACATGAACTTGGTGGGGTGTTTTGTTTTGTTTTTAAGTTAATAGTCAGCAGGACAGGGTGAGCTGACCGGTACCATGAAATGGAATTAATTCTTTTTGTAACCTTCTGCCCCACCATGCTCCAGACTGGAGTCACCGCCACTCATGTCTGTTACTTGCAATGGGAGGCAAGCCACCATACCAAAAGAAGATTTCCTTCCATTATGACTACTAGGCACCCTGGGGTGGTTTCAGGGGTGAGTTTAGGGCAGTGTGAGCAGTGTGGTTTGAGGCAAAACTACAGTAGATCATTGTTTTGCTAAAATTTGTATTTGCTGCTCAAAGTGGTTCATGTTATATGTTAAACCTAGCATCAAAAAACTATCTGGAACGTGGAAAAAACAGGGGTGCAGTTTGGTCGTCCAGGCATACAGCTCTTGTTTGTTCAAGCGTGTGTGCATGTACACACACACTACTGCTTATAGATGGCTCATAATACAGCTCTATAATCATAATTATAATTTTAATTATATTTCAGTGCTTGTGGTCTACATAAACAGGCAGTTCACCTAAAGCACTCTGGTGACATTATAAACCAATGGAACACACACCTATTCATACCCCCCAAAATTCAGAGCTGGTTGGCTACCGCCATGGCTGCACAGTCTGTACATCTCCAGAACAGAAGGTTCCTTAGGGTTGCAGTCCTCAACAAACCTCCTAGGGAGTAAGCCTCATTCAACACCTATTAACTGTTTGGTATATATACATGGGGATTTTATTAGCCGCAGCACACATATTAAAGCCCTGGACAAAACAGCAAATCCTGTTGCTCTAGTGAATGGGGAATTGTAGCATCAAGTCCTTCGGTTTAGGAAACATTATTATAAAGGACAATGGGAATCCACAACAGATATCCAAAAGGGCTCATTCAAGTGTTGGCATAAGTTTAGAATGTGCTAAGATGGCAACACCCAATGTAAAAATACTGGGAAAGCAGTGCTAGAGGTGACACAATCAGAGATGAAACAGCTCCATGTGATTCCAAAAGAAACAGAATATTACCCTCTGACACAAGAGTGATTTCTGTATAATGAATGAATACCTTATGAATATTACTGTTTTATGTATTGTGTAAAAAAAGAATGATGATGATGGGTGTGTGTTTTTTGAAGCCCAGACATTTTAAAGTCAGCCATGTAAAATATAACCCAGACATTCTTGGTCCTCAAGACGCTATCCAGCCTCATTAGAAAAAACTTCGCTCGATTGCCAAGCCAAAAGACTATTGTGGTAGTTAACATATAACTAATTAAAAGCTACAACTGTGTTATATGTTGCAACTTAACAAGAGGGGGCAGCACACAAGAGCTTCCCAGAATAATTCACTGCTGGAGATCATAAATAAGCACGGCAGAATCCAGAATAAGGTCTCCCTAGTTCTAAAGTAGTAAGGTTGCCTTTTCCCAACCTAGGGTCCTCTCAGTGTTGGACTATAACTCCCCCTAAAATGCCCCCCCCCGAAATGAGGGCAGAGAATGCTCAGAGGGCTTGGACTGCTGACTCACTGTTGGAGTAAATCTTGAAAGTTGGGGAGGGAAATGGATGGATCGGAGTATTCTGGACCTGGGCACAGGTGAGTGGGATTCTAAACCGTGCAACATTCTGTTGCAGGTCCCACCTGTACAGCACAATAACACTACGTTTTTAAGTTACAGATAGGTAGCCGTGTTGGTCTGCCATAGTCAAAACAAAAAAAATTCCTTCCAGTAGCACCTTAAAGACCAACTAAGTTAGTTCTTGGTATGAGCTTTCGTGTGCATGCACACTTCTTCAGATACTACGTTTTTAAGGTGTTGCTCTTCAGTGCAAATGGTATTTCAGAATCATATTTGGAGACTTAGGCACACATTAATCTGCACATTCAGATAAGTCACATGGTAAAGGTAAAGGGACCCCTGACCATTAGGTCCAGTCTTGGCCAGCTCTGGGGTTGCGACGCTCATCTCGCTTTATTGGCCGAGGGAGCCGGCGTACAGCTTCCGGGTCATGTGGCCAGCATGACTAAGCCACTTCTGGCGAACCAGAGCAGCGCACGGAAACGCCCTTTACCTTCCCGCCGGAGCGGTCCCTATTTATCCACTTGCACTTTTGACATGCTTCCGAACTGCTAGGTTGGCAGGAGCAGGGACCAAGCAACGGGAGCTCACCCCGTCGCGGGGATTCGAACCGCCAACCTTCTGATCAGCAAGTCCTAGGCTCTGTGGTTTAACCCACAGCGCCACCCGCGTCCCAAGTCACATGGTACAAGGGTACAATTTCAGACTGCAGGATTAGGGTGTCATATTTCAAAACCTCCCTTGACATGGGGGCCTAACTCATCTACGATGGGATTCCAACCAAGCCCTTTCCCTTCTGCAAGAAGGGTATTTCTCTTTCTTTTCCAAAACAGTACAATCCCAAGAATTGTACATCGTGCGATTTCACGGTTCCAACTGTATGCTACTTTGAGGAAATGCAGAACTTTGCTTGAGACTCCCTTTGTTCAATTTCACCAAGTGCTTGTTATTTTTAGACCACAATTTTACGCATCTCCCAACACACTGTCACAGTGGGTTTAGCAGGGACATGTTCAAATTTCCCAGCAGAAAAAAAACCCAACTCAAATCCTAAGTCTTGGAATCAAAAGTGATGCTCAAAACATGTATTTATTTTTAAATACAAGGTGGTGGCGTCACCTGAAATCAGTGGGAATGTTTCTAATATTTTTGGAAAGCTTTGTGGAAGAAAGGCGGGGAAGGAGACCCTATATAGTCAAGGGTAGCCGTAGACTGCATGACATTAAAGTTTCCAGCGAAGGAATGAACTTAATTACTCAACTCCCAAACAGTTAAGCTTCTTGCAATATTACACTATGCAGTGCAGGCACTTTCCAGTGTTTTTCTCCCCCCAAAATAAAAATAACAAAACCCCTAAACCCTAAGTAAATAGTGTTTAATGGTTGTAGCGGAGATGGGCTTAGGCAGCAACTCAAGAGCCACTTATATATATTTTACAAACTGCTCTTAAAAAACAACAAAAAGCTATTCCTGGCACGTCCGAGAGCCACTGCATCCCCTACCCCTGATTTGCTCCAAATATATGATCAGCTGTTAAACATTTGCACATGAAAAAGGTTGTAGTTTTGCTCAGTCCATTGCCTAATTAAAACATAGGCTGCAAGACCATATGCTTTATTCCCCATTAGTTTTATTAGTTCTCTTCACTGATGCTGGCAACCCAAAATGTTTTTACTTTCTTATGTTCGGCTAAGCAGATAATTGAGTGTTTTAAAAATATATGGCTTTTACATAATTATGCACAATTGCTTCTGAACTGTGTTATTGGTGCCTAAATATATACCGTGGCAACAGGAGTCCCATTATAAGGGAGTTTGGTGGGCTTGCTATTTTTCTGAGGTGCACGGCGGGGGGGAATGACAGACAGAAATTGGGTACGTGGGGTTTTTTTTATTAAAAAAAGTTTTACCGGTTTCATTGGGTTGGATCCAGACTTCCCGTGAGCAGAGTTTAACTCATGGGACACCCTACCAGAGGCAGGAGGAAGACAATTTTCACTGATTCCTCCTTTCCCCCTCAGCTCTCAACGCTACCTCCCAGGCTGCACCAGAAAGTCCCCAGAGCATTCGGGGGGGGGGGGACGGACGGGGGACGGACAGTGGTCTTTTCATGGATCCAACCCACTGTTTCCCTGTTCTTCAGAGTGCATGCTTCACTCTTTATTTCCTAAACAGATAGCTTTCCATTGTAGGAAAGATCTAAGCCCCTAACCTTCAGGAAACATGCAGCCCAGCCTGCCCCTCAAAACAGAATGTTACATTTGTGCACAGCACAAATCATTTGCTTCTCAGTCTCACATTTTCTGCATTATTCAAGCAGGGAAAAGGGAGAAGATTTACAATCCATCTTCAAAGAAGGTTGGACCCCTAGAGCTGGCCCAAGCAGGTTAGGGATCGATAAACACATCCTGTGTGGAAGCAAACTAAAGCACTCTGATTTGTGAGGTCTGTCCTCCTAGGGCTTTCAAGGACCATGATTTAGAGGCAGGATTCAAATTTCTTAATTACAAAACTAGCACATGCTACCCAACCCACAGAGTAACACAATGCTTTCTTGCCCCGGACAACTTAACACGACACTGGCTTAATAAATAAGAACACAAGCAGACAAAACGTGAAACTGCGGATGCCTTCAAATCTCTTACCTTGTCGGATGTCAAAGCCTTCAGGTTGAGTTAGCCCATCGATTATTATTTGCAGTGTTTGCCCCGTTGTATTCAATTTTTTTGCAATTCCTTCCAGCCCTTCCTTTTTAATTATCACATCCACATTTTGCTGCATGGCTGACTTTCCAATGTCGCTGAGGCTTCCTCCAATGAGCGTTAAAAACCTTATACATAAACATTAAAAGTAAAAGAAAGCAAAGCAAAAATTCTATAGATTAGAAATTTTTTGAAGTTCATAATGTTTCAAGCCTGGGGTACATAGAAATATATTCACCACCACCCCTCTCAATTTGGATGTCATAGTTGTGGTGCCCCAAAAACTCCACACCCAATGCAACCACATTGGTCATACTCCCTTAGATCCACCTCTGGGTGGACAAGCTGACCACCTGCCTATCACCCAACATCGCTTTGTCAGGTGATGATCACTGGGACTTCAAAGTACCACATAGGCCTTGCACAGAGCCCTGCCCAGTGTTCTGAAGTGCTATTGATCCAAGGCCGGCCCAATATGCACCTGACATGAACCACAAAATGGCCGCCAGGAAAGAAGGGGTGAGCGAAGATCTACATCAGGAAAAAGGGGGAAATTAAGAACTTCACTGGGAACAAGGGTGCGAGGAGACCAGCAGTGCCTCCTATTCGCCAAGAGGCTGCTGTAGATGCGGCATGGGGAGGGGGCTGCTGCTGAGGAGACGACAGATCCCACCTCCAAGGAGCGTGCTGTTGCTGTTGCTACCACTGAGGCATCATCATCACCATCATTGGGTGATGCATTCCTTAGAAGCCAGATCTGCTGCCCCTGTGGATCTTGCTGCCTGAGGCAGTCACCTCACCTTGCGCCTCATGGGTGGGCCGGCCCTGTGCTGAATGGCAGATATGAAGTAACATCCTATCAGCTGACAGGTGGTGACTCCAAGCCTGCTTTTTACAGGTCCTGGAATGTCTATTCCTACATACAGCTAACTGAGAAAAAAAGCATGGATTTAGGGCCTCTTTTGCCATGACAAAATTCCACTCTGCTGTGCTGTAAACTGGAAAGGGGGGGGGGTTAATTAAAAAACCCCGACCAGTTTTTGCTTAGGTGGGGAGGAGAGAATTGCTTGGTTCAGAATGACGCAGGAAATTTCAGTGTACCAGACTTCTCCAAACCTGGTGCCTCTGGAGCAAACCCTATACATCTTATCTCATTTTCTTCATTAGCACTTTGCAAGACTATAAGAATCCCAGATTTTGAGGGTGTATCCCACAGCAGAAGAGGATGGGAAAGTCTCTTGCTTGAACAGAACTGCAGCACTGGATACAATCCTATATATCTATGCATACATTAACAGCTTGCAAGACTATAAGAATTCTAGCAATATCTTAACAACTTCCTGTTCACCCCAGAATTATAAATGAAAAGCTATCTTCAAAGAAACAATGCTATTTTCTTGCTCCCTCATAGAGCCTTGTTCAGTCAAGGGAAAGCACTCATTTCCATGTGAACAGTGTCCTTAGTGATTGCAGATGTATTCCCCCACCCTCTTAAAAGAGAGGCTGTTTAATCTGGTTACATATTTCATAGATCATTTTCACCCAAATAAACGTGCTTGGAGGGCACTTGGAACAGAAATCAATATTAAACAGACAGCTCCATCTCAGCCGTAATGCATATTGACCATCTCTATTTTTAAATGTCATTGCTAAGAACAAAGTGAAATGCTTTTGCGCGTAGAAAAACGTCCTCAAATTTACTGCAAGGTCACGGAAAATGGAGCCGGAATAAATGGGAATTACATGTTAAAAGAAAGGAAGAAAAACAGACTTTGTCACAAGCAACTTTCCCTTCTCCCTAACTCCATTTGGCTTGTGTTGGACTGAACAAAACACACTGGCACACTATATTCAACACTAGATTGTTAATGGACAACTGTCGAAATACTGGATATTTATTCTGATATATGGGAAGCAGGAGGGATGGGTATACTGGAACTTGACAATGTTAGGATGCCTGTGATAGTTTGTATGTTTATCTAATGCTGCTTTGTTGGTTTTGAATATTGATTGATTTATTTTTATGTTTAACACACATATTGAAATGCCACCACCATGAACAACAACTTCCAGCTGGCTATATTTGGAAAGCATGCTATAGGGCCTACAATAAATAATCAACCCTTCTCCAAGTATTGCCTTTTATTTGTGTCTGCAATAACTGAGGAGGTGCTTGCTAACGACAAATTGCAATTAACTGTTTATTGACCACTTGTATCAATACCACATGCACATATTTTAGGAGTATTTTTTTTTAAAAAAAAAACACCCTACATTGATTAGTATTTAAAGCTAGCTGTAAAGAAACATGCACTAAGCTTTGAACAAAAAAGTAAACATATACACAAAAGTTAACAAAGGAAAAATAAACATATACACATTTCAGTAGATGGAGATAAATGCAGCAAACCCTCTTTCTCTTCCCCTCTTTAAGAAAATGCCAATTGAAATTACGACCAACGTTCAATATGTAAATGCAAATTAACGGAGAGAAGGTCTGAAATATATAAGGAACATTCGTATTCCACTAATTAGCCTATGCCAATGGATGCTATATTCACATTAAGGTTACTTTAGCATCCAACAATGATGTTTTACATCAGGGGTGTAATGAATTTTACACCAGGGGTGGCTAAGCTGCAGTCCTAAAGGTCTTGCTGGGTTACAGATCCCAGCTTCCTCAACCATTGGTCATGCTGGCTTGGACTAATAGCAGCTGGAGTCCCACCACATCTGGAGGGCCACAGGTTAGCCACCCCTGTTTTAGACACTTCTAGGACAAGCCTATGGATGTCTATTTAGAAGTAAGGCCCATCATCTAAACGGGGCTTATTTCATTTATATCAAACCTATCCTCCAAGGAGCTCAAGGCAGGAAAAATAGTTCTCCTCATTTTCTCCTCACAAGAACCCTGTGAGGTAGGCTATGCTTGAGAGAAAGTGACTGAGGCCTCCCAATTTACTTCATGGCTATGTGGGAATTTGAACCCTGGGCTGCAGGGTTGCTGTCCAACACTGTACTACAAAACACTGGCTTACTCCAGGTAAGTGGGTATAGGACTGCAGCCTTCCAAGGTTTAACTGGACCTATCAATGTTCACAAGTCAAAATTCATCATATTTTGGACACTCACTGTAACATATATATTGAGATTGGTTTTCATACGTCATTGAGTTGCCCACGTTCTTAGTGAATTAGTTTGAGTTTAGATCTTAAAATGAAAGGCCAATTCAGGTTACAATATTTTTAATGGCGGGTTTTTTAGAAATGGAATATCCACTGGAATGGATGGAAATGATCATTTCCAGAGAGGTTTCTGAAGGTTAGAGATCTGCCAGCAATGTTTGATGCAGAAAATAGGCAAACGATTCTTGCAGTGTACACATCTGAATGCAATTACTACCACACAAGCAGCTGAAATGTTAATAAATGCACACGACTAAGCACAATCTAAAACGTTAGTTCAATAGACAATTTCTAAAACCTTGTTTTCGAAGAGCTATGCAAAGCACAACATTGTTCTACTGCAGTGAATTGACCACCCAGTAACAGGGAGAATGCAAATTCCTTTAGCTGCATTCAAAGCTGTCCAAGTGGACTCTTGTTCCACCAGGTAAGTCTGAGTATGGGGGCTTTCCCACCTCTTCCCTGCTGTGGTCCCTATGAACAAGAAAAGCCTTCTTTGGGGGCGAGGAGACCCTCACAGAAGGTCTAGGATATGGCACAAGGAGCTGGGGTGGAATGGAGGATTACCTCAAATATGGCAGATGTAGCTTGAACAAGCAAAACTCTTGCCAGCTGCCACCACCCAAGTTTTGGTTATTCTTCCCTCCAAATGCAGTGCCCCATGCTTTTCAAGAGGTTCTCTCAGTCCCCAGGAGAGGGTTTCCATGAGTCATAATTATGTTTGCACAAGAAGTTAAGGAGACAGATGGCATATCATCTGAGTGCATCTACGAATTAGAAATTTTGCAGTTACCAATTAGCTAGACAACCAAAACAACACAGAATTAATAAACTGAACATGTACTTTCTCCCTCACCCAGTTAAAAAGAATAACAAATGTAAACTTGGAAACTCATGAGCTAATGATTGCAACATTGAGTGATATACAGTGGTACCTTGGTTCCTGAACAGCTTGGCTCCCGAACAAATTGGCTCCCGAACGCCGCAAACCTGGAAGTGAGTGTTCCAGTTTGCGAACGTTTTTCGGAAGCCGAATGTCCAATGCGGCTTCCGCTTGAGTGCAGGAAGCTCCTGCAGCCAATCGGAAGCTGCGCCTTGGTTTTCAAATGGTTTGGGGAGTTGAACGGACTCCCAGAACAGATTAAGTTTGAGCACAAAGGTACCACTGTATGCCGAAAGGCTTTGACAATATGAAACTTTCAATCAACAAGCACGCTTTGCTTTTTACTGAGTTGTACCCAATGGTGCTCCTCTGGTGGCAGAAGGCTCTTTGATGCAACAGAAAGGGGATCAAAGTTATTTTGCATGCACATCCTTCCCCCATGCAGCCCCCATCTCTCCTCTAGCCCCCCAAATCTGCACAAGAGAGGGTTGGGAGATAATTTGGAACAGCATGCTAGGGGCTGCAAGGGTGAATCAGTGAAAGCAGCCTCCCTCCCTGTTCTGCTGGATCAAATAATGGTCTGTGAGTACAAGCAGAACCACTGGATACAACCAGTATTTATATTGAACCATACATAGGTATGGCGCTGCCCCAAGGAGCCCATAATAGAGGAAAATACAAAGGAAATGGAAGGAAATGAATGGAGGGATAAAATGGGTGAAGTATGGCTGTGGCCATACTTCGAACTCAGGATGAAAGGGAAAAACATGCTAAGAGGAAGGCACACTTGGCAAACCCTCACCATGATCAACTCCTGCCCGGAACCCTATGTCCCTATTGTGAAAGGATGTCCAGATCCAGAATTGGCCTCCATAGTCACTTACAGACTCACTTTTAAAACCATGTTTCTGGAAGACAATCCTACTCGGCTATGAGTGATCACCAAAGAAGAAGAATATTCCTTAGGATATAGTGGAGAATAGTGGCATGGGAAGAGAAGGAAATACTCCAACCAGATTAACTGGTATTAATGGCACTTGGAGCTGTGCAAGTTACAAAA